CGGAAGGCACAGCGAGGGGACGACGTAGGGGCAGCAGCTGGAGCGACGGTTGGGCTCAACTGGCCAGTGGCGTCCTCGGCGTCGCGAGAAGCAGCGGCGGCGGAGCAATAGCATCGAGCGGGGCGACCAGCAGTCCACGTTGGCTTCGGGGGAGCTGCGATGGCGATGGGACAGCTCGCGGCCACAGGTCTGGCCGTGAGCAAGGAAAAGCAGCAACGGCAGCCGCCGTGGGGTGCAGTGGATCGAGCAGGCTGCGGCCGAAAGGGGGAGGCTCGGCCGTGAAAGACCCAGTCAGGTTCTCTCTCTTGCTCGCTCTCTGGCTCTCACTCTCACTCACGTGTGTTTTCACTCGTGTGTTCTGGAAATTATGAATGCCCCCTAAAAATTATGATCCCTCCCCCTTGATTAAGGGGTGTAATCACGTATTTATAATCTAAACCTAGGTTAATTGGCCGGGTTTTTATAATATGATGGGCTTTAACCTGGTTTTTCATATTTAATTCCTCAGTGGGTTGAATGATTTTAGGCTCTTCTTTAATTAAAGTTTAATGGGCTGATTTGAGCTCAAATTAAGACAACCTAGTCTGTTGTTGCCCTAGAAATTTTCAGCCCTTTTCCCCTTTGCTTGGCCAAGCGAGACCCGATGCGCAAGATAGGCTCGCACGATGGATTTCGGGCTTACTCACCACCGCCGGCCCGATGCGGGATGTAATTAAACTATATGGTCTTAAACTACATGCTATATGATTTTGATATTTTTATTTAGAGATTAAAGTTTAATCACTAATTTTTTATATAATTAATCACTAAATGGTTAGTCAAAATTTAGATATCAATAACTGCCATCCAAGGAGACCGTGACAGAAAATGATATATTTGCCCAAGAAACGATCAGTGGCCTAATTCAACACGTAAAAGGAAGTTCATTCAAGACACGGTCAATCATTATCCAAGATTTAACTTTCCCTTTAATTTTCTATTCTCCACGGCCGACTCCGAAGGATAATATCTATCCTTTGTTTCAAAACAGAATTTACTTCTTTTCTTTTCTCTGACCCAAACAGCAAATTCACAATTTCCTTTTTGAAGTATTCTTTCACAGTCAAAATCCATCATCACGTTGGACTCAAATTTGGAGAGGAAATCACGTGATTTGCTTCCCTCGATTTCGGACATATGCAATATATACAATTCCGAATATTCAAACCTTCACAATTAATAATTACTCTCGGATTTGGTTTCGTCTATTGGGCTCAAACTCGAGACATATTTTAACAATTATTATATCTTGTATATAACAAGAAGACATATTCCATATTGTGCACGCATGTGCCTTTGCATATGAACAAACTATGACCATCAAGTACAGAAATGATTCGACAAAGTGTCAATATACACACTTGTGAACCACAGCCATCCAAAATACAAGCCAACACCATGCCTCGGATTTAGGGATTTTACACAAGACCAGAGCATGAACGATTAGTCATTGACCCAGCTAAAAGTTTCCATGTTGCTAGTCGTTCTAAGTATGTCATGTTCGATGAACTTGTCCGATACAAGCACCTGTGTTCTACCTCAGGTATCACAATACCCATGAATTGTGACTCATCATTCTCTTAAGTATCCAATACTCAATGGTGAAGTTTTAGAACACATATATCTCAATAGGATCATCAATATCCTCTCAATGATCCATCGACAAAGAACTATTCAAAGACTTAGTCAAACTTTGAACCGTCACACATAGTCTTAACACACTAAGATTAGGTCCAGTCGTAACTGGTTTTATGGACTCATTCATATAAATGTGTCAATGAATGAATATGTCATTGCATTAAATAAATAATACAACTTAAATCCCTAGCATGTAACGATTACATGATTGCATTAGGGCATATAGCCAACACACTCTTAATATGGTTGGTAGATTCTACAATTAGTCAGTACATTTAACTGCTCACAAGTAAGGCTAATAAATGTTGATGACTCAATAGAAAAGTTGGCAAAACTAGAAAAGAACAAATAAACATTGGTATTTGACCCAAAACAATAAACGTTGGTCAACAACTCAAATGAGAGTTGATAAATAAAAACTAGTTGGTAATTTAATGGGAGAAGAAAATTGGTAAACCACACAAGTAAACATTGACAAGTTCGAACAAGAGGTGATAAATTCAGGGCATTAGTATGAAAAACAAATAGAAGTTGATAAACGATAAATAGAATAACCAAATAAACGTTGATATGTATCTCAAATGAGAATTGGTTTGTAACCTAAAGTGAAATGGTACTAATCGGAAAAAAGTTGGTAAATTATTCCAATTAAGATTGGTATTCATAAAAAAAATGTTTATTAAGTAAATTGTAGACAAGAAAGACAAATAAAAATTGGTAAAATAAAAATATTGAATAATTTGTCAACTTTCAAAAAGAAAGGGTATTTTCATAAAATTTCGGTATATTACCAACAAGTTATTAAGAAATCGGGTTTTTCACCAACAGCTTTTTATTTACACTTACCAAGAATTTCAAAATTCTATCAACATGGCAAAAAAAATCGGAAATGGAACACTAAAATCGTCCAAGGAGGTATTAAAAATTTCCATAAAGAGTAGGATATAAGGTACACAATAATCTATAAACTTTCAGTTTTCTACCCTTTCAATGGTGTTATTTTTTTTTAAGTTCACCATAAAAAGCTACCCCAAACATTTGTCAATTGAAAAACAAGTTTAATAACAATATGGCTAATGCATATCCACTCACCTGATTGAACAGATAAATAAAAGGGTTAATACCACGAAAAACCCTAAACTGGTACACTTGTGACACATTTACCCCAAACTATTTTTTTGACCATAAAAAACCCCAAACTGGTACACCTATGACAATTTTACCCTGAACTATTTTTTTGACCACCAAAAACCCCAAACTGATACATATGTGATAATTTTACCCTGAATTAAAATTTTAATATTATTTTTTATTTTTTTCGAATTTTTATTTATTTTTTATTCTTTTCTTTTCTTTTTTTTTTCATCTTCAAACTCTGACCGGTCGCCGGTCCGGCGACCGGCCAGAGGTGGAAGCAGGCGAGGGCCGCCCTCGCCTGCGTCGGGCGAGGGCCGCCCTCACCGGCGTCGGGCAAGGACCGTCCTCGCCCTCCCAGGGCAAGGGCGAGGGTCGTCCTCGCCAGATCCGGCGTCGGGCGAGGGCCGCCCGACGCCGGCGAGGGCCGCCCGACGCCGGCGAGGGCAACCCTCGCCCGGATACCGACGAGGGCAACCCTCGCCCGATACCGACGAGGGTCGCCCTCGCCGGATCCGGCGAGGGCGGCCCTCACCGGCTTCCGCCTCTGGCCGGTCGTCGGACCGGCGACCGGCCAGAGGTTGAAGGTGAAAGAAAAAAAAAGAAAAGAAAAGAAAAGAAAAAAGAAAAAATTCAAAAAAATAAAAATAAAAATATTAAAAATTAGTTCGAGGTAAAATTGTCACATGTGTACCAGTTTAGGGTTTTTTGTGGTATGTTTGGGGTAAAATTGTCATAGGTGTACCAGTTTGGGGTTTTTTATGGTCAAAAAAATAATTTGAGGTAAATGTGTCACAAATGTACCTGTTTAGGGTTTTTCGTGGTATTAACCCTAAATAAAATTACATCTTTGCACACAAGATGTACTTTTTAACAACTAAGCAATTCCAGACAAAAGCCACACATGTACAAAGTACTTGTTCAAATACCATTTTGCTTTATTTTTTTTCAGGTTAGCTAAAAGAGCGTACTTATAGAAACTGCATGCCTCACTATTTTCCATCGTGCCAAAGACCCTGGTTAGAAGAAACGTAGAGAGATGGGCCTCTTGTGTGGAATCATGAATTGGAAAATGGTGGTGGCCAAGCCCATGTCTCTTTTCATTTCTTAGCAAGAGTAGTGTCTACATAGAAATCTCAGAAAGTTCATTGATATCGAGAACTGGACAAACATGGATGTGCGCAGGTTGCGTTGCGCTGTGATGAATCAGTAATTACAGAAGTATCATTAAATTTCATTGAGTGCTTTGCTTTGCTTGACATTGCAATGTTTACTGTATGTAGGAGAATAATTGACTCACCCGGTTTCACTATTAAAAATTTGAGTTTGCATGTTAGGGCAATTCCAAGCTCAAATCAAAAGGGTATGGGTGCTCATGCGGGTTGTCCTTTCACGTTTGTGGCTTCAATTTCTTGTCCTTCCATGAAGATTTTCAATGACGAAACGATCTCTGGTTAAAGATTTAGAATAGAAAGGGAATAATTGTGATGGGACAGTTTTAAGGTTTACTCATCCTTGTTTGCCGATCACTAGTTCTCTGTTTTTTTTTTTTACCAGGTGATAAACAAGGAAGAAAGTTCTTTCCTTGTTTGTGGATGAAGTAATCCTGAAAAATAGCTGTAAATAAATAATATTTTAAAAAAAGGCTTGTGAAGTAATATTTAAATAGGGAGAGATCCATCCAAAATCGTCACCACTTGGAACATTTCTTTCGGAAACTTGACCCACCTAGATCATGAATAAATCACATTCAATGGAGAGAGGACATATGTGTCACCACTTTGAGTTAAGGTGGTCCAACTGCAACTGGACATATGACCGGTTCGAACTTGAGTTTTCTTTTGACAATCTCTTCATTAGATTTTTGCTGTGCACTCCCAACATTAACGACACTTATGGTGAGGAAAAAGTTCACTTTATTGGTCAAAGCTTCGAACTTTACATTGACTTTGGAGCTTAAACTCCTGTCATATTCTCGATGGGCACATTTCAGATAGTCTCATAATATATTCTGTTCTTTTTATTGAAGAAAAAGAAGTGTCATTTCATTCAGGATTCTTAAATGCATAACAAATTTCTTACAACAACAGGGAATCAACAGACATTCAGACAGATGATAAAAGAAAAAGGCCTCATCTTCCTTTTTACAAAAGAAAACAAAAATCCCTCTCGTTGTCTGAACTGGGAATTCTTTCCTTTTTCATTGGAGAGGGCTGCTTTCTATGTAGACTCTTTGTCCTTCATCAGATCCAGACACTTATGTATACACTACACAAAACTCGCACACTTCCTATCTACCAATCCACAGATCCGAAGGCAAATGAAAAGGTAAAACCATATTAAAACCCTTCGCTTTGAGTATTCGGGGCCATTTTAATGTTAGTTTCAGAAGTGCGAAATGCATCTTCTGTGGCGAGCCGTGACCGAACGTTTCTTCTGCTTCATTTCCTCTTTCCATGACCTCCCAATGTCATGTGCCACGCTGATTGCATCCAGAGACGCACCGGACAGGCCTCTCCTCGTGAACCCAACCGCATAGAGCCCGGCCCGGCCTTTCCATCCGTTTGGGAATGGGTTCTTCGGGATTCCATCCTCAGAAAAGAATTCATTCTCCTGCAGACATCACAATTACGGAAATGTTATTTAATCTGGGAAAAGAAATTGGGGTCACAACCAGAAGCAGGATTGCTTGGAGAAAAAGGAGTATTTTTTTTGTTTTCTTGCTTTTAAATTCACTAACCATCAAAAATAGTGTTAGTGACCGCTACTAGAGGAAAACAAGGACAAAGCAAAAAAGAACCTGACAAGAATGGTTGCTTTTAGAATCAAGAATGTCCATATCAGTATCCAGTGAAACACTCACTCCTAAAGTAGACTAAAGTCTGAAGAATCATTTCGAGTTTAGTGAATTCCAGGGTAGGTCCCATCTATTTAAAATCTTTATTCTTCGATTTTGCGTTAACAACTCAAAAAATAATCTCTAGAGAGAGTGGGACAGAAACAACTTGAATAACCCCTGGTTTTCAGTTAACAGTATCCAAATTCCAGGTGCAGAACGTGTAAAGGAAACACCTTTATCAAGAGATTTTCATTCCACAAGTTGCTTCTACAGGACAAGAGCAAAACTGAACTCACAAGCTGACCACAGCATCACAATTTCCACTAAAATGAGACATAATGATGAACAGAGTATAATAAACGAAAATAACATCTGGGAAAGTAGAAGAAAAACATCAAACACTCTATGCCTTACCTTGAGCCAAGAAGGAACATTGCTGCAGTATCCAGTGGCAAGGACGACGGAATCAATGTCGAGAACTTCCCTGTCAAGGAGCTCGACCTGACCGCTTAAGAACTTCTTGATCCCCGGAACCACCTTGATCTCGCCGGATCTGATCTTGCTCAGTGCACCAATGTCCAGAACAGGGGTCTTCCCTGCAGCATTCTTGAGCTGCAGAGGCCCTATTTTTGGCCTTTTAAGACCATATTTCTCTACATTTCCGAGAATCAACCAAGCAAGGAATATGAGGATCTTGTCGATAAACCAAAGTGGCAACCACTTCATCATGAAGACCGCCAGTTCAAAGGTTGATTTCCCTAGCACTTCCCTTGGCAACACATGAACCTGTTTGATCAAAAAAAGAGCGCAAGTGTTTTGTCAAATCAATTTTCTCTTCGCCACACATCAATGTTAATATATGTTGCTGACTACGGTTTCAGCCTTACCGAGCTGCGAACCACCATGGACGGCCTTGCATTGTGATTGCAGAGATCAAGAGAAACCTCCATTCCCGAATTCCCGCACCCGACAACCAGCACTTGCTTTCCGCGGAAATTCTCTCCGGATTTGTAGTCACAGGCATGCGTCACATCGCCCCCGAAAGATTCTAGGCCCTCGAACTCTGGGACAATCTTTTCTGCATTCTCGCCAGAGGCCACCACGAGCCACCGGCAGATGTACTCAACCTCGATCTGGCCAGGTCCAGGCTCTCCTGCCAGGACTGTCCTGACCCGCCAGAGCCCAAAGGTCTCATCATACTTGGCGGACTGCACTGTTTCATTGAAGTTCGGACTGATTTCAAAGTGCCTGGCATAGGCCTCAAGGTAGGCGATGAACTGGTTCTTGGTGGGGTACTCAGGGAAGTCCTCAGGGAATGGGAAGTTGGGGAGTTGGCAAAACTGCTTTGGAAGGTGAAGCTTCAGCCTATCATAGGTCCTGTTCTGCCACAAAGAGGCAATGCAGTTGGCCCTCTCGAGGATGATGAACGGCACGCCCTGTTGCTTGAGCCCGGCCCCGACTGCGAGCCCTGATGGGCCCGCGCCGACAATGACCGGCCCGTTGACCCAGATGCACCGGCAGGAGAAGAATGTCCTGTAGTCAATGCTTTGGAGCATGTCTGGTGTGTTGAGACAAGTGCTGTTGTTGTGCATTGACAGTCCTTGTGCTTTTGGTGCTTAAAAGGGTGAAGGGAGAAAGTTGTGTTTTGCAATCTTTGAATGGAGAGAGAGAGAGGAAACAATGAAGAGAAAGAGAGTTCAAATGTTGCAGAAAGAGGAATGGGAGGAGAGAAAAGAGAGAGAATATTGTTGTGTTTGGCTAAATTAGTAATGGTGTGGAGAGTGAAAGAGGGGTTGGGCGGGTACATATAGGGGAGAAACTTTGGGCCAGAAAGAATCATGTGATTAGGATTGGGAAGTGGTACTTCTCGCTTTTGAAACTCATTCCCAAATGATAAGCTCAAGACCTCTTTTCTTTCTGTAATTATTAAAATATTCCGTAAGCCCACTTGTTTTAATGGCCACAAAAAGAAATAGACTCCACTTTGGTTTGCATTAGAAAACAATCAGCTTTCAAGGTGTGGATCATCAAGTTACAATTGACTGAGTTCAAGAGACCCCCCCATTCATGGCTAATGTCAAAAGGGATTTAGGTTTTCTCAACTTACTGGGTCTTTTTTAATTCGATTTAATCTCCAATATATATATGTATGTCAAAGATCAGATCCATTTGTATTGGGTAAGATTCCACACATAGAATACAGGCAAGACCCCTAAGATTACACCGAGCACAAGATGATGAGATTCAAACTATATTTTGCTGAGTTAAACCAAATACTTAACCATTCGGTCATTCTTTGATTAAGTTTCAACTAGATTACAAAGGAAAATAACATCACCAACAATATTTAAGCTTCTTTCTGGTCTCCTTTCTGTTCAACCTTTGGCCGGTGAACTTACCATTTAAAGTTCTACTCTTTCAGTGGTCCAAATGCGTCTCTGCATTCAGTACATCAAATGAATGCAGTTCAGAAAAACTCCATGAGGACCCGGAATCCAAGAAAATGAAGTCAGAACAGAGACACTAGTTTCTTTTTCTTCCTTTGTCCGACCATCTGAACTGTAGCTACCTCCTTGTAGGTCATTTTCTTTGAGTCATGAATTTTTTCTATATTTATCATTTGAAAACTGACATTCTTGGCAATGATTTGGCTACTACTTACAATGATGGATTCGAGAATCTAGGACGAAATAATAAAATCAGAACATTATTATGTTTGCTCTATTAGATATTTGTTTATCCTACAAATCTAAGTTATGCAAAAATGAATGAGGGTACATATTGAACATTTAATTTTTATGATAAGAAAGTATTAAGTTAAGCAAACCTCGAACTCTTGATATACCATCTGTCACGCCCTGCGCCCCATCCACCAAGCCCCGAGCACGCGACACCCCTATTATCTAGGTCATTTAATTGCAACGTCTCAGGAGGCGTCGTCAACCCATCAAGTATCTAACGAATAAGCACATGCGGAAGCGTAAACAACATCACCCAATCAACATCATAGAAGGGATAGCAAAGAAAACACATAGGCAAAACACACTTGATATATATATACACACGTTAACAATCGAACATTAGCAAAATACAAACCCACTACTACGGGCCTTTTCCCGATTCAATCAACTGAATATAATTGAATGCGGGTGATGTCAATGTACGTAACCCACCAATCAAAAGTATGATCGGAGGAAGTGACTTCTAGCTAGAAATGGAAGAAAACGTGGCCTTTAACGTCTACCTGCCAATGAGGAATATGATTACAAGATACTTTAATAGCTAACAATCAGAATAAAATGAAAAAGATTTTCTGTATTCAAATCTTAAAGTTGAAATTCTATGAAAAGTCGAGACACGAGAAAATTGTCCAAAAAGTCCTAAACCTATTACCCTTTTGCCAATTCAATCATAAACATTTTAATTGTGTCAGTTGAGTTATAAACTTTCTTACGTTTTATTAATTGAGTCTATCTAGTCAATTTTGGCCAGAAATCACTAGCATGGACGCCGGCCGTCCTATGTAGCACAACCGGCGTTGACATAGACAATATTTAATAATATTTTAATTATTTTTCGATTTTTTAAAATTTTTATTTTCCATTTTTTCTTTTCTTTTCTTTTCCTTCTTTAATTTTTTTCTTTTTTTTCTTTTTTTTCCTTTCTCTTCTTTTTTTTCTTTTCTTTTTTCTTTTTTCTTATTCCCTTTTTCCCTTCGCCAACCTCGAGCAATGGATGCCCAGGCCTAGGCTGGTGATTGCTGCCTTGCCAACCCAGGCCTGTGTATCCCTCGCCCAAGGCCAGCAACCTCTGCCGACATCAACGAGGCCCGGCGATGGCTGGCAGAGGGAAAAAGAAAAAAGAAAAGAAGAGAAGAGAAAAAGAAAAAAAGAAAAAAGTAAAGAAGGAAAAAAAAGAAAAGGAAAGGAAAATTATTAAAAATTATCCACGTCAACACCGACCGTGCCACGTATGACGGTCAGTGTCAACGTTAGTAATTTTTTGTCAAAATTGAACGGATTGACTCAATTGGCAAAGCGTGAAAAGGTTTAAGACTCGATTGTCACAATTAAAAGATTTAAGACTGAATTGACAAAAGTGCAATAGATTTATGATTTTTTGGACAACTTTCCTTCATCCAAAAGCTTTGCCCGATGTTGTGATAAGAGATACATAGTGTATACAAGTGTATGTCTTAGCGGTATCTGTCAACGAGTTTAATATTTGCAATTAATGCATTTCCTTGAGGAACTTATGAATTCTATGCGTCTAGGTTACAGGCCTAGCAGGCATTTTGCTTGTATATGTCGAATCATTAATCTTGATAGGGATTGATCATTTGGCAAAGAAAATGCTTCTCTCGAGGAGCACAACTTGTGAGATTGATCAACTTGCATGTTATATAAACTATGTCCTGCGTCCTATGAATCCACCGAGTAGATTTGCCAAATCCACATTGAAACGTGGGTGACCTTAAATAAGTTGAAAAGGATGTGCTTGGTCCAAGAATATGCCAGATCAAAGGTGAAGTTCGCAAAGTGCGCTTTTATTAGGAAGTAGGGTGGACAACTATCGAATGCACGATCATAATAAGTTTCTTCGGGACACTCATCAAGTAGAATTAGTATCGAGTAATTCTTTTTTTTAAGTACTGATAACATATTGACCAATGATTTGGTCGTCAGAAACGATTGGGAAGAATTTCCTATTTCTCTTTGGCAACCAAAATATTTAAATCGTGAGAGATCTCCACTAGCAACTACGGCTCCATTCATTTTGCAAAAAATGGGACATTTGAGAAAAATGTATTTCAGGAATTCATTTTCCAGGAAAATGATAATATTTTCTGATATTTGGCTGAAACCTGAAAATGAGCTAAAAAAATTTTCCGTCATTTGACATTAAAAATCTGATTTGATTCTCTTGAAAAAAATATCAAAAAAATCAAAATTTTTAATTATTTTTTTATTTTCTCATCTTTTCTTTTTTTTTTCTTTTTCCTTCTATCTTTGCCGGTCGCCGGCCATGGCGACAGCCGACAACCGGCCACATGCAAGGTGAAGCCTCGCCGCTTCGAGCAAGGTCGAGCTCACCGCAGGCCGGAGAGCTCAAGACCCACTTGTGGCCAGTCGCTGGCCATCGTTGTGGCCAAAGACCGGTCGAGGAATAAGTGGGTCCCACATGAAAAATGGTTGATGTCAATATTGTCTTCTCAGTAGTTGTGCGAGCTGGTTCACCGGGTATTATTTGAGAGAGAGCCTCAGCACCAGAAAAACAATCTTAAAAGGTGTCCCTAGAACACTGATTAAGTCTTACTAAATACACTTAAAAAATGAGAAATTCTTCAACACAATTGATTTGTAATTGGCAAATAGGTGATAATAATCGATAGGCCTTTTCCCATGAATTTCATAAATCTTTACAAGCACTCGATGAAGAGTATAAAGCCAAGAGTAGCTGGACAAGACAGGCAAAAAATTTTACTTGACTCTGGACCCAATTACATGAACCGAGTCCATCAGCTATTGCTCACGTGGGACCCACCTATTCTCATACGGTTAGAGGTGAACGGTTCCAAGGTCGGTCCAAGTTCCGTCTGGAACTTGAAACCTATCTCTCGAAATCGGTTCCCAAATTTTTGGAACTTGAAACCTACCCTGCATACTCTAAAGCATAAAATTTACTATGTCACAAGTTCCAGAGTCTACTTTGGTTTTGCCTGTATTCTTAATTAAACGATTGTAGTGAGTCGTAACCTCTAATGACCATCATTTGCTGTTACAATCCATTGACAACAACTCATATTTAGACACATGAAAAATATGAAACTTTAATAAAGTAAAAGTCTTGGTCATAAATATTGCCGAAAATAAAAGCTCAGATTAGTGGTTCCAGATTACAAACTCATAATTGGACGTCATGGAATATTGCAGGATTGCGGACTAAAACCTATCCGTCGAAACCGATTTCCAAATTTTTGGAACATGAAACCTACATTGCATACTATGGAACCATGCTTACCCCTGCATACTATACACGAGTCTTTCTTTCCAGATATCTATTCTTTGCAATATTGTCTTCCCAGTAGTTGTGCGAGCTGGTTCACTAGGCATTGTCTAAGAGAGAGGCCTCAACGGCAGAAAAATAATCTTAAAAGCTTTCCATAAAGCACTTATTAAGTCTTACTAAATACACTCAAAGAAATGCGAAACTTCATTTGAAGTAACTTTTTTAAAATGATCGTTCTTCTATATTCCAAGTTCGTAAAAAAGTACGGCCCCCATTTTCAGTTAATTTTTTTGGCGTCTCGGAGCCACTTGTTGGCAAGACGCTTTTCTTGTATACCATTTTTTTTTTTGGTCGGTATCTTGTATAACGTTTTGTTTTAGCAGCTTTGCCATCTTGCAAATTCGTAGACAAGGTAAGTCACTTGGGCTAGAATGTGGAATTCCAAATGTTTATGATTTAAATTTTGTGTGTAATATCCCATTAATTAGAAGAATTATTTAATACATGACAGCATCATATAGCAATATATCAAGGAAATGAAAAGTGTACTAGTGGGTTTTCATTTTTGCATGGAAGGAAAACA